CCGCCGCCGCTCGGGGCCCGGCACCCTCACGCCGCTTCCAGCCCTGCCCGGGACCGGGGAGGGGATTATGCCTCAGGTCGTCGGGGTGATCCAATGGGAATTGCATTGATCTGGTGTTTAGCTCTGATCCTTATCAAATGGATTACTTGTAAGGTAGGCCATTTCATTATTCTGTTTTGACTAACTGGGTTTATAAGTAGCCTGAGAGAAAACAAGTCATTAAGAACTTCACGAGTACTTATTTTTCTTTTTTAAATCTAATCTGTTTTGGAAACACATCATTCGTCATTTAAGATTGTGCTTCTTAAGTGTTCATACATGATTTTGTAGCTCTTGACTTTTGCCTGCCTTGAAGTGGGAAGAGTGTGTTTGTAGCAGTGCCAGTTAGGAGACGGGGAAAAGGGATCTGAAATGTCTTCTGCATGGCAGGGGTTTGCTTGCCTCCTTTACTAAAAGATCTTCAATTTTATAGCACTTTAAAGGCGCTTTGAAAATAAGGAAAAACAATTTTAAACATAGTGAGAATAACACAAATTAGCGTGCTTTGCTTCCTGGACAGGATATCCTTTTTGTATTGTTGATTTCAGGGTTACGGGAGTGGAAATACCAGTTTTGTTTGCTTAGGTGAAACACTGGCTACTTTGCTTGCTTTGTAGCCTTTCCACTTGAGATGCTTGTGCTTTGAAAAATGTTGTGCTAATGTTAGACAAAATTAGGAGTTCATACTCTCTCATTCTAAAGGACGTAAGTGTCCTCATGTATAAGGATAATGTATATTGTGGTAGTAAATGTAGGTGGGATTAGTGCCTGGAGATGAGACCAGGCTCTTCTCAGCATAGCTCGCTGCCTAACCTGGAATTAATTCCAAAAGGAGAAATAAATTTAAGTTTAGGATTGTGAAGGAGGGCCAGAATCATTGGAGAGAATGAGGGAAACTGAAAAAAAAAAATCGAAGTTAATGCATTTATGTATAGATAGCTTTTTTTATTAATACACAATTTTAACATTTTTGTACAATTAACAGGAGAATCTGAACAAACGTGAATTTGAATTTGTTGTGAAAACAAGCTTTGCCAGGTATCTGTGGCTGTACTCTTCAGTCACTGCCAATGACACAGATCTAAATTAACTAAAAGCAAAAACGGTCAGCACTTGTGATAACTTTTGTCACATCAAGAAAAAGTCCAGGATACCCTAATGGATGTTCACTGGTGACTGGAGGCAGATTCTAAATGCCGAAGTTTTACAGCCAGTGCTAGCCTAGTAAGTCATCTGCATTTTACTGGTATACTGTTGAATTGCTGGTTTTCTGAAACTTGACATAAAAAGCCTACTTAAGGATCTGTAATTCAGTTTGGTTAAAGATTCTGTTAAGCTGGGAAAAATAGAAATTCCAGGTAGCTGACATAATACAATTAAGCATAAAAACCTCTACTGTTTATGGTTGTGTTTTTAAATGTGCTAATGGTTGTTTCTTTTAAAGAATTTTTTTTGTGTGTGTGTTCATCCAGTTATCTATTTTGCTGTTGGTTTTGAGTCCTTCTGCCATTCTGATTTAGTTTCTAAAGGTAATACCTCTGTGTGTTTCTCTCCTCACTCAAGTCAATCACTTACGTTTTTTTGACTATGCTTTCTTTTCTGATCAATTTTCAAGCTTTTGTTTGGTATATTTTTGTTAAATCTTGAAGTTTTTATGTTGATAAAATTTTGGGTAAATTTTATGATGCCACGTGATATACATCTAAGGTGTATGAGAGAAAACCTTACAAATGCTTCTTAGATGTAGTTATCAATAATGTTGATAACTGTCATTCAACCAATAGCTAAGTTTATAAATGATTGCCATCCATCTTGGGAGACGGTCATATGAAATAGCTTTATATGGAAGAAAATAGTAAAATTGCCACATTCAGATATTTGAAGGGAGAGTGTGTGTGTCTTATTGCTGATTAGTATTGCTTTCCTGAAATTAAATACATTTTATCACTGGTTTGATAAACTTTCAAAATACTGCTATGAACTCCAGCAAACTATTTAGAAAATAGTAGTAGGACTGTTTTACGGTGGCTTGTCTGAGTTCAATGACAGTTAGTTACGTGCTTTAAAGGAACATTTTCCAGGGCTTTAGTGAGTAAAATCTTTGTGATATCTTGTGGAAAACTGTGGATCTTAGGTTAGTATGGAACTTTTAATTACTGAAATCATTCTAAGAATTATGATAAATGACAGTCTCGCTTTTGAAATCGAGTAATAGTTGGAGAAATACGGTCTAACTAGTTTGTCATTGTAGGGACTTCTAGTTGATAAACTGTCTTAGAATCTTAAATTGTTTCCAAGTGTGTATATTTGAGGCAGCATAACTAGCAAATTGCGGTTGCCATGATATAACAGGTTCTCCAAGCTTGTTCTCAATTTCTTTTTCTGAAAACAACCCTCTGATTGTTGGGCAAATATCTTGGGCAGAAAAGCCAAGTAGGTAAAAATACCTGACTGGCTGTGTTGCTGTCCTCTGGCTTTCCTTTCCCAGTTTCTGAGTAAACAACTGAGTCGCAAAATGAGGGTTGTACACTCCATCAAAAGGCATAGATGGTTTTTTCTGATGGGAGGTACTGAGCTTTGAAGGGTGACATCTCCGTCAGTTTCTCTCTGCTGTTACAGAATGAGACCAGCAGTTGTTTCGCTTGACAGTCTGAAAGCTGGCTAGCTGGCGTTTGCATAAATGAAGTGCCCAACAGTAATGCTGGTGCTCTGCTCTGAACTGGATTGGGAAGTCCTTGTGGTAAAACTGATACATCAATGGGAACGCTTCTGTTTGGCACAAACAGCAGCAGGTGCTCTGTTTCCAAGTGTTACATGCACATGCTGTACTCCCTAGCATCACTGAAGTGGCTTCCCTTTGGAGATATATCTATGTGCTATTTTGGCATGTCATTCCTGTCGCATGGCCCTTAATAACTTCCTATACTCTTGTGAAGAGATTTTCAGAAAGATCTGACTTAAACCTATCTTTTGGTAGATACTCCCTTCGCCTGTTTTTGTGGAGTCCTTGTATCATTGTTCTTAAAGGATTAATGGGTCTTCAGCTTTCATTTGAACTTCTTCCATTCACTTTCCATAAAGATGTGACAAAAGAGAGGAGAAATGAAAGCTTTTCTTACTGTATTGTCCTTTGGAAGAATAAATGACACTGTAATATGAAACTGAAATTTAAGGTGAGGTTTTCAAAGTGGAAGTCCAGTGTAAACAATCCTTCGCAGTCATCTTTCTGACATCTGTCTTCACTGCTGAAACAAAACAGCCCACCCAGTCCAGATGGCTGCGCTCAGGTCTGGAAGGGAGCGGGGTGGTTAAGAACCTCACCTCATGATTTGAGGAATTTGTTGAATCACTTGAAGTCCAGCAGATATTCCCACCGGACCAAGTTGTCCTTGTGCTTGAAAAGGCAACCTGCCTAAACACATTAGGATTGTCTTCAGTTTGAGCACTAGTAATTCTATCTGCGTCTTGGAACGATGCTTATTTGTTTGAGATTTGTACAGAGGGTCAAGGAGTTCAATATGCTTTACGGTCGTTAACAGGTACAAAGCTTCAGATAGACCAAAGAGGTGGCAGAGATCTAGAAATAAAATTTTATGCTAAATGTGTTGACATTAACAATGACATGATATTTTGAAGTGCCAGAAGTCAAGCTCTGTCCATGAAGTTTTTAGCCAAGGTTTTTAAGTAGGCTAGTACAGTGTATGCTACAGTCATCTCGACTGTGTAAGTAAGGTAAATTTTTAGCGTAAGTATAGTCTTGATGTCTTGGTGTGAGAGTGGGCCTTTGATTAGCAATGAGGGAGGATGCATTTTTGGTGGTCATCAAGGGTAGAATCCTGGTGATTAAATTGTTTGAACTGTTGAGTGCTTTACAGAAACTTCAGCTCTTCAAGACGTATTTGTCTTTCCACTTACAAATTTGCTGTGCATGACAGTTCACATATCAGTAGAAGCTGATGCATTAAATCTGGTCTTTCTGTTTGCTGGATTTAAAAAGTGGGATCTGGGCAGGGTGTCTTAACCACAGGCAGGGTGGATAAAATTACTTCTCTCTTCGCTTTTTTTTGTGTATTTTTCTAGACAGTGTAGGGGGTAGTATAACAAATATGCTGACAGTATTATTTGAAGTGGGAAAATAGGTCATATACCTCAACGTACGGTATGTAGTCTGTTACCTATTCAGAGCGTGAGCTGACACAAAGCAATCCATGGCTGGATGAGCGTAATATTATTTAATTTACCTACCTATCACAAGTTGCTTAAAACCTCTGTACCATTAGCTCCCTCCTCTGTCTCTGACTGCCTACCACCGTGCTCCTAACTGTCCGTACCTCACTTATTTGCAAGGTCTGACCACTCATCACCCACGCTGTATCTGTTCCTTGGGGGAACTTGCTAATGAGTGTTTTCCTCTTACCTATTTTATTTAACAAATTTCAATGAATGAAGTATGTTTAAGACCTCTACCCTTTTAGCAAAATTAGCTGAAATTGTCCTACTACTTTTCAAGTATTATTAGTAGGGTTTACACAATAAATTCTCTTTTTCCTTAGGAAACCAAATTTTGAAAGGTAATTTTAAAAGGATTTGATTGTTCAAAGATTCCTACGAGATCTTTCAGAGTCCTTGCAGAACGAAATCACTAGTTTGTATAAGCAATTGGTTTACGTTTTTAAAAGTGTGCTTTGTGTTTGATATCATACGTGGATGTACTAATTTATCCAGCAAATAGTATTTTAGATTTTTGAGAGCAAGTAATATTTTAGAATCAACATATCAAAAGGGTTTATTTTTCAGTAAATTTTTGCATATTGTTTTCCTTCTCAGAGACTAATGCTCCATTTGGGCATGGTTCTTCTAGCTGCATGTGTGCTTAGCTTCCTCCTGTATTAGATTACAGAACTGTACTGGACGTATCCAGAAATCTGTGATAGACAGGTGCAAATTGCAAGTTAGCACTAAATTACATCACTGATTGTGCCTAGTCAGTGATATGAAATGTTCCAGGCAACTGAAAATATATTCAGCTGAGATTTGCTGAAATTCAAAGGTAGGTTATATGAAGAAATTTGAAAATGTTAGTGGAAAATCAGCATCATTTTTTGGCTGATGAGATGCATTGCTGCCTTTCCCATCAGGACGGGCATATTGCTGTGAGAAATGCTGTACAAACATATTTCAAGGGAAGGGTTATTTGCATGGCTTATGATCTTCCAAGGAAATACAGAACAAAAGCTAAGACAACAGAAAAGTGCAGTACAGGGAGTTCTTCCTTGTAGTCTTTACAACAGCTACTGTAATTGGACCCCATTTGGAGCTAGGTCTTTGGTCATTTATGTAATTAAATATTAAACTTACCTTTGGAAAAACTTTTCTGATTTCAAGTGTAAGGTTTTTTCTTGTTTTAACATGAAAAAATATTAAAACAATTAAGTGTAACTTCTGGGTTTGAGTCAACACATCAGTTGTACAAATCATGCTGATGGAGGTTATTAGTCTCGAGTCTTCCTTTGTGTGCATTCAATTTGTTCTGTAGATAGATGTTTATAAGCAATTTTGCCTTTTTTCCCCTTCCAAGTGATTTGTTTCTTTATCTCTTTTTCTTTCTTTTAGAATTCTTCTCCCTGTCCAATATCTGTTTTTCTGTCCTGTTTCCTAACATGGTTTGGTTTCCCATCTTCTGAACTTGTGTATTTTCAGACTGTTGTGTGTCCCTGGTGTAGTGTTGTTCCTGCTACACAGAGGAAAAAATGGGTGACTGCATTCACCTATAGGTTGGCTTTTATCTGAAGTTCTCAAAGGGGTATGATAGCCCTTTGTGGCACCCAGGACTTCAGTGTTCTCAGTGTAAATAAGAAATGTGGTGGACACGGAAAGGTCATAGGAGTTTTTAATGCGCATGCATACAAAAAAAATCTTACTTCTTTAAAAAACAAATGTGAACTGGCAAAATTGAAGTATGATTGTGAAGGTGATCCTCTGATCCTAGGGTTAAGCAATAACACTAATGAAGGCCCTAGGAAGTGGCAGAAGATGGTGAAAATACAGTAAAGGCAAGGCATGAGGCTGGGTGCTAGGTCGCGCTGAACTTTGAAGACTACATGATGCCAGTGTTGTGTAACTATGAGAACATTCCCCCAGTTTTTAGCTATTAGAGGACCAGTGTACCACACTTCCTGGATTATAACTATTACTGCATTAGCTGAATATGTATGGAACATACATATTTTGTGTAGGTAAGAAATACAGCCTGCATGGGAGTATCTCAATGTCGTGCACAGATAGCTTGGTGACTCTTTTAAACTTTTATTATCAAATGTGAAATACCACTTGCTTATCTTCTTTCAAATACCTTTATGTATTACATCCTGCTTCAGTGGGACCTTGGTTTACCTATAGAAAGTACGGGATGGAATGAAAGTAGCATGTGGCAGCCAAGTCCTGCCCTTGCAGAATATAGGTTGAATTTCTAGGACTGCAGTAGTGGTGTCATTTGAGTTCTTTTACTTCTTTTAAAACTACTTCTAGTTTTGAAAGATGGAAATACCCCACAGGTAAAAGTAAATAAATAAACCAGGAACTGCAAGTATTTGTTTTAAGTTAGGTATTACATTCTAGAGGCTATGAGGAGCACAATTTTTTTGTGTCTGCTTAATCTTGTTCTATGTCTTTTTTATTGTGAGGAATGATTGAGGAGCATCTGGAAAGAAATTTAGGGGGGGTATTTTTTTCCACACTCTGGTCCTGTTTTTCATAATCTCTTCGCTACCAATTCCTGTCCTTCCTTTGTCCCCTCCTAAAACAAAATCAGTATATATCTATTTGAAAGATGCATTTTCAAATTTCCAAAATTAATTTTGAGAGTTAAATTGGAAATGAACAATTGATTACTTTATTTGTTTCAATTTAAAAATGATTCCGTTCTAACTTGCATAAAATATACCTTTTTATTTTTTTGCAGAGACGTGGAGCAATTTCCTATGACAGCTCTGATCAGACTGCGTTGTACATTCGTATGCTAGGTAAGCATACCAGTTTCTATATTGCAAAGTTCTAATGTTTGTGATTGATTTAAATTTTTTTTTTGTTTTAATATTTGAGTGTTGAATTCTTAAACTTATCATTCCCTTTCTTCTGGATAATATTCTGGTTAGATTCTTTAGAAGAGTTTGGGTTCTTTTGTGTTGACTTGGGTTTTTTGATTGTTTGCCTTTTTTCTTTTTTTTTTCCTGAGTTAACCATTGTGTTAGATGTTTTACTCCTATATTTAAAACAAAAAAAAGTTCTTATAATTAATGTAACATGTTTGGTAGAAGTTAAGTTTTCCAAGTGACTCATGATTGATCTTTATTTCTGTGATGGAATTTATCACCTCTGCGTGGTATCCTTCTGGTTAAAACTGTAGCTTAGAGAACATTTGTGTGAGAGTTACCACACTATTAAAAACTTCAATACTGAGGCTATGAAATGCTCAAGGTGTTCTTAAAATAATGATATGATTTTAGACAATACTTTTCTTATTAATCCTAGAAGCTGACTTGAGAAGGGAAAGGGCACAAGACAGGGCCAGTAGTTTAGTCAACTTACTGAAGAGTGTTTCCAGAGTAGCAACTAGATAAAGGGTAAAGCCGAATTAAAATGAAAGAGCAGTATGGGGAGGGGTAAGCATCTGGGGGAGACCTTCTGTGATAGTGAGTGCATCGAAGGAGTTCAGGTCAGTCGTTGAGAGGAGAAAGATGCAAAGCTCTTCAGTCCTTCCCGCACCTCTTCTGGAGGCTGGTGGTGGTGCAGATAGCATGGGGACTGTGTATATGCTCTGTTTCACTGCAAAATTATGCCACTTAATTTAAGCCATCTTGAGCTATGATTTTGTGTTGAAATGGACTATGAATGCTTGCATGATGTCTCGCACGGCTCAATGAACATCAACAGCTAGGGATTATAAATTCTTAACCGGCTCTAACTAAATCAGCCAGAACATGTCTTTTTAAGCCCTGAGTCTTTTCAATTTAGTTGTATATATTAAAGTCCCCAGAAATTCATAACTGTGTTGTCTATGAACTTAAAGTTGTAAGGTATATGCATGTGTACGTGTGTGTATAGTCATAACCTACATATGTAGGCATACGCATGCGTATGTGTATATAAATCCAATTTTGACTCAGCATATTCGCATTTTTGCTTTTCAATTATTTTGATTTTTTTAAGTTTGTGAAGTTGTTAATACTATAGCACTGACTGTCTACTGAAGGATTTTTGATAAGAGAATGTAATTACTTTGGAGATTTGTTAAGAGGAGGAGGACAGAAGATGCTGGCTTCTAAATGTTTATTGAAAAAGCTGTTGGGTTTTTTGTGGTTGTTGGAAATAGGTTTATTTCATTTTCAAAAGTTAAAATAACTTTTTTCATTTTTAATCATCCTTTTTGCAAGATGAACACTAGAATTCTTCAAAATGTGATTTTTCTGTTCTAGTCATAAGAATAAGAAAGTAAATTAAGGCCTGAGGTAGTTTAGTTTCCTTGATTTTGTGATACTTCTTTTTAAACTAAATTTATTTGGTGCTGTAACTAGAAAATACATTTTTTTTCCTGCTTCAAAATCCTACTTTTAATTCCACAACAGGGGAAATATGTATTAATTTATTTTCAAAATGCACTGATATGCTTGAATTAAAGGTACTGTAAGTATATGTCTGTGTTTTTATCTTTTTAAAATTAACCTGCTAGTGATAGGAACTCAGGTTGTAAGAAAATAATTAATTTCTGGGGAGAATAATCTGATTTCTTTTGCTGCTTTGGAAGTTTAACTGTACCAGGAAGTAGTTAGGCCCATCATTTCTGCAGAAGGGTTTGTGATAATGCTCAAGTAAATCTAGAGGAAAGCAAAGCATGACTTCCTGTCGTTCCTGGTAGATATACCTGAACTGAGGGAAAAATCTAATTTGTTTTGAAATCGTTCTTTGATTATTCTCATAGGCAGACGGAATATATTCAGAAAGTGATGTTAAGTAAATTAAATTTTCACTTGTTCTCTCATTGGAATTAGTTATTAGACCATGTGACTCGTGCTTGTTATGAATAGCATAACTCTTGCTGGCATTCGTTGCTGTTCGATGTTGCTAGCTATTCAGAGGCAGTAAGTCTTTTAAAGGATTGACCTCTTCTAACTTTGGCTGGGGGGAGGAGGGTACCAACAAGCAAACAAAAAATTGCTCATTGGATGTTTGAATCAGTATTGTATTACTTTCTTACTTGTTGGTGATCACTTTGTTTTCCCGAATGTTATGTACACTGTACTGTACACTGTTCTGTACAAATTAGTAACTATTTACAGATTTATTACTGTTGTATTCGTAAATGGACTGTAAAAAAGACCAGCCTGAAAGCTGAACAGTTGGACGCGTCGGTATATAGAAACATTCATATCAGAATAGATTCAAGAATGAATATATTTAATTTGAATTTTTTGCGAGAAATGTGAAGTATCGCATTTCCCGTACTGTATTGTGAGGGTTTTGGTTTTGGGTTTATTTATTTATTTATCTTAATACATTTTAGCAGAGTAAGCTGTAAGGAATCCTTAGCTGTGACTTAACGGCAAGTTAGGCACAGTCATGAGACATTTTGACTTGTACTTGGTTGGTTATTATTCCAAACAGACTACATCTACTAATAAAATGTACCTTGATAAGGTGTTTATTTTAGCAGACCAAAAATATAAAGCTAAGGGTATCTAGAACACCTCCCTCTGCCTCTGTTTAGGTGTGCTGGCTGTGGGGTTGCTTCCTTTAACGTTTTCAGGCTGTTCCAATGGGAATCCAACGGAAATTCATTTGCTCCAAGTAAATAGAAATTCCTGTGGTACGGCAGTGTTTCCAGGTTCAATTTAAAAGATCAAATTACAGGGGCACACAAAATAAACAACTCTTAACTGTCTTCATCAGTGTCAATATAAACAAACAGCGTTGACTCTTATGACTCATCTGTCATACCCCATTCCCAAAATATACACTAAGCCACTCCTGAGTGGCTTATTTAAAATATAGATACAGATGCAGCATTGTAGAGTTTTTCTTTTAAGACCTTGGAAGGGCTAATATATCTGCATCACCTCAGTCAGCTACTTCTCTCAGCAACTGTGAGGAATTCCCAAAATTTCTTGTAAGTGCTTCTGTGTAATCTTGATACTTTCCTGATTTTTCTCTTCTTTGCTTTTCTGGTTTCTTTTTCTTGTTGTTTTATATTGCCTGAAAGTTTTGCTACTGTGCATGGGGTAGAAAGAGTGGGGCACTGACTGCTTGTATTGGTGAGCATGCACCTCTCAACTAAAACTGGAGCATTTTACCCGCCTTTAGAGGTCTTGATCACTTCAAATAGGAAACAGTGGAAGCAAGCTATAGTGTAATGCAGGTGCGCGCTCTTCTCCGGTAGTGGTTGTTATGTTGTATTCCTTTTGGTTTAATTCTGGCATATTCGGCTGACCTGTCATCTGTTTCTCCAACAAATTTAATAGGAACTTTAATCTGTGAAGCTAGTAATTCTTTCTGGAAATCCTGCTCTTCACAACTTCATGGCTTTGACTTGGGTGGCTTACCTTGAGGTGGCTGTCGTAATTTCTGCTCCCAGCTGTCCTCCGTGATCTCTGAGATTTCTGCCCCTGCTCCAGAAGGCCTCAGCTCCCCAAGCAGCTGCTGCATTGTTACTGTGCCACATTGGAGTATTAGGGTAGCACGAAGTATGTGCTGTGTAACCCTAACGCGCAGGGATGTCAGCTGTGGCATTTCAGCTGCCTCGTAAGTATCAGAGCTGTCCTTGCGGTGTGAGCAGGAATCTGAGAGAGGGGTAGGAAAAACCATCTGTCTCAAGGTAAGTTTTGTTACAGTCCTGATTACTTTTCAGTTTTCAGTGGTAGCTGCAAACCTCCCTCTTGCATTCCTTCTCCCACTATTTATTCAGTCTTCAATGAGTTTTCTGCCTGTATGGCCTTTGTCTTGAAAATGCAAGCAATCCCCGTCACGTAGAACTATTCTGGAAAAAAATCTAGTTAAATACTCAGCCAACAGATATTTTGTCATGATTGTGCACAAAATCAGATTTTGAAAGGAAGGCTTCACGTTTTTTAAATCTTTCTCTTCATTCTTTGGATTCACAGAAACTCTCAAAGAGGAAAAAAATTGGTCCTGGAAGTCCACTGTCATTAAGATGCTGGACTTGAATGTGTTCCCCTAAGGAAACAGAGGAGTCTTTTCAGAGTGGTTAAAGTGGCTAAAGAAGAGACACTTAAGATAAAAACAGTCAGCTTGCTATTGCTTCTGCCCCCTCAAGGAAATTTACCTATAAGCAAACGGTGTGATCTGATGGTTTCAAAAGATTTTGTAACCAGTTTGATATTTTTTTAAAAGGCCTAAATAAATGAAAATTATTCATAAGTTCTTTTGGTGTAGGTGTTGAATTTTAATTATCTTTCAGCTACCGTAAAAATGATTGGCTCTGAGGTTGGACTTCTGTTGCTGTTTGAAGGAATAATGTAACAGTGTCCTTTTGTCTGATAAAAATAATCTTAAATCTGAAATGTCTTGTGCCTTTTTTTAAGTTACCTGTGATGATAAATATGTCTCTTTGTTAAAATTAAATTCTGTATCATTTCAGAGTCATAGGGTTACCAAAAACTTGTGCAGGATGTCCCAGGCAAATCGATGCAAATACGTTATGTTGTGTGCAAGCACAATGAAGCGGGTGCATTTGGGATCTATTGATCTTTGCAGGTCAGATTAACTGAACAGTGAATGCATAACGATGGTCCAGTATTTCTGGATGTTTTGGGACTAACTATACATATGCAATAGAGATTAGTTTCACTGTGATAATAGCACATCATTTCATAATGTGCTAATATGCAGCCACTTTGATGCTATTCCTTTTTATGCTTCTGTATACATAGAAACTTCAGATGGATGTATGGTATCTTCAAATTCCACTTGTACCAATTTTTTCCAAGTACATTTACTGTCTGAAATCTTGAAAAATGCAGTAGTTCTGTACAATGATAATGGAGACGGCTCTTCTGTCTTCGTTTTGGCCCAATAGGAATTTCTACTTTGTTTACTGTGATAAATTCCAGTCCTGTAGAAGTAATATCTTCTTCCAGAATATTAAAAAAAATCATCCATTGTTGAGATCTTGATTCTTAACAAAATACGCTCTGCTTCTGCCACGATCAAGGAGAGAGAATTTTGTTTAACAACTACTTAATGAAAATATTTTGCTTTCCTTTCTCATTTCATCCATATGCCAGTAAATACCCTCATTTTACCTTTATCTTATTCCAATCGCCTTTTTAATAGTTTTTAGTGCATTTTTAGTATATAATTTCTTCTTTTGGCTAACTATTCTGTAAATAGACATTTAATAATTCCTGTTAAAAGCAATGTAGTTAGTTGCACTTCTGCATTTCACTTGTAGACGGTTTTGCTTGTTTTCCTACTCAAAATCTGCAACATTGCAGGCATTTCAAGGGTAACAGGGATACTGTTATTCTATCTATGGTGTTAGACTAGGTACTAGTAAATAAAGAACAAAGCAGAGAGAAATTTTCTGGATATCATTTATCAGATGAACTTGCTTTTTTTGTTATTTGCAGAATTCCATGTTAGTCTTCGGGTATTTTTCTGTGAACTTGTTCAATGTGTCAAGAAAAGGAAAAGTAAATTGTTCACCAAAATGTAGTTGTACACTGACTGAAACTATTTGATAATTCACGTTATGTTTGATAAATTTTGAAAGTTAAGACTGCCTTGAAAACTAAATATAATTAATTCACAAAAGTCGTATCACCATTTCTGTAAAAAATTCACTCAACTAAAAAAAACTTTTTCTTTTAATTCAGCTGGTGAACTCATTCACACAGCTCTAGCTATGACTGATTTCCCAGATAAATATGAGTGAAAGGTAATGAAAGTTGCATTTTCCTCCGTGTAAACTGATATTTTCATAAACAGCTACTAATGCATTTGCCTCCTCTTTTCCAAAATTTCCTCCCTTTTTCCTTTTTATTAATTTATTTTGTAACTAAAATTCACCAGTTGCTTATGCCTAACAGAAGAGTTCTACAATTTGCTGCCTCTGTATTGCCTGGAACAAGGCAAGCCTCTTGCACTCTGCTCAGATGACTGCTTGAAACCTTTATAAGTAATATATTGTCAATGGTCTGAAAAATAATATTTACAGGTAGTAATTGGGTTACTTTCCCTTGCAGCTCTATTAAGGTTTTCAGTTTCAAAAAAACAAAAGGAGTAATAACTGAAAACCACATGTATTTGGTATGTTTTTACTGATATGTAAACTTTAGACTCATTATTTGGGGATCCCTGGGCCTACTTATCTTTTTGTGGTCCTTCCACCGTGCCTCACAAGATAATTCATGTTAACTGTGTCACTATAGATATGTCAGTGTTTATAGACATGCATCTCTAGAAAGATACCTGTTAAGTATTAAAAGTATATTACTGAAGTTTTAGTCAGTATCTTTAGCTATTTTCTGACAAGTTGCATGCTTCAGCATAACAAATTAGCAAGTTGGAGAAGAAAAGGAAAAACCACTCTCAAGATGTTATCAGTTGCTGGAAAGAAATAGCTATATTTTTATTTTGTTCTTATAAAATCAGTCTTAGTTTTTAATGTTAAATACTTAGTTTTGATTCATATGAAAATCACTGTGTTTGAGGAGAGGAGAATGCTACGCCTGAAGGATTTTCACAATTAGAAACCAGAACATTTTCACATCTTAAATTTCACTTTTTAGGATTTGAGGAGGGAAACACTATTGCATTTGATCCTCAAAGGTTTGCCCAAATTTGTAATTGCTAAAGGATTTTAAGTTAATTTTAATCCAGGTGAACTACTTACATTAATGCATACAAATACCTAACGAAAGAATACTGATCAGCTTTCAGTTGGTAAAATGCATAAGTAGAAATCAACTAGCATGTTAAAAGATTCAGGTTGAAGCTAATTGCAGTGCAAAATAGTTTGATAAAATTTTAATACTGAGTTTTGGTATTTTAATAGGCTCTTGTGTAATATTCAAACAGCTGAGCACAAGTAAGTAAATGCTAGTGGGAAAATATTCTATTATGTAATATAAAACCATATTTTAACTAGCTTATTTGCTAAAAGCTACCATTTCTAGAAGCTGAACCTTTTTTGTATTATACAAAATGTTATCGTTTTATGTGTGTTACTGAGGAACAAATCAACTTTTAATGTTCTTGTTTCCTGTCATATTAAGGTGCATTTTTACCATACTGGTGTAGCAAGCTGTTCCTAATTTCATTTGAATGCTTATCACATGCTTCTGGCAACGTATGCTTAGGCAGGAGAGGTTTTGACAAGAAAGCATGCAATTGCATGTTTAACAAGTCTTCAAACTTTGTTTTGAATTTCACCTTTAAAACAAAAAGCATTGAAGTAGGCCTATTGTTTGAATAACCCTCCTCCATTAAGTACATGAATCTTTACCCCTCCAGGCTATGTTCATTTGCATTTTATCTCTGCCACTCTTCCACACTTTTATTTCACTCTTGACCCTGTTTCTAGGAGATGTGCGAGTAAGAAGTCGGGCAGGATTTGAAACAGAGAGAAGAGGTTCTCATCCATACATTGATTTCCGTATTTTTCACTGTAAGTATTTAAAAAGCAGATAAATGACAAATAAACAAAGGCTTCCATTAATTTTAACTACTGAGCCTCTAAAAATAAAGTTAGCAGCTTATATAGCAAGACCATTTTTTATACTTCTCAGGAAAATCTTTCATGCTACTTCATTACAAAAACAGAAGAGGAAAATCTTCATTGCTAAATTTTTGTTTTTTAAAAATACAGTTTAAACTCATCAAATTTAGCTCTGAATCTCGATGGAAATGAAGACTATCTTATATACAGCTACTGATGTGTGTGCCGAGTTCTTACTTGGCAGACTCAATCAGTTGAGAAGAATGCTTTCCTGCTTTTATAAAGCAGAAGGGACTGGTCCAGGATAATGTTTGAAGAGAATTAGTAGATGTCAATATTCTTGACCTCGTCATAATCAATTAACATTATATTTACTCAAACATGTAGCTAGGACTTAAATTTTTTGGACATAGACAAATCTTAAATAAAAATTACAGTGTTATAAGAAAACAGCAAACTAAACTTTTTTTATTATGTGTTTTAGGAAACATTTTTTCCTCAGAAGTGTTACAAGAATAATATTTTTGGATAATTTCACTTTTTTCTCTACATCTGTATTGTTATAACTAAATATGTCAGTAGTTGTAATATAAAAGATTCAGTAACCACCAAACCAGTATGCAGCAAAAGAGCAGGGGATTTAAGTCTTAATTAAATTATGCTAATAATATTAAGTGTCATAAAATATCTATACCAACATTGTATCAGCACAATTCCGAGTATTCTGAATGCAATGGAGAGATTTAGAAAAACTTATTTCATGGTAACAAGTGTGGTTGTTGTAATTACCTTATTAATAAAAATGAGTGGCAGAAACTGGTCTAATTAATATTCTGGTCTTAACTGAAGTTACTCTTTTTAAAAGTAGCGCATTACTTAAATTTAAAACTCTTAGACTCTTAATTTCATTCAAAAGTTAGTATCATAAAATAGGTGAGAAAACAAAGTTTGAAGAGTACGCTATATTGATTTTTTTCAATAGAGGATAAGAATTCCATCTCAAGTCCTGATAATTCTATTGAGTATAATAAAAATTCTCTGTAGAAATAGCATGCGATTTATGAATTACGTAACTATGTCTTTTTGTGTATGTATATGTGTGTGTATGTGGCATTTTATGCTGGTACGGGAAAATACTAACAGAAGTATTAAAAGAACTACCTGTTAAAAGGCAGTCACATATATTATTGCTGTTGTCAAATTAACTGTATTTTCTGTGGTACTCATCACGCTTTCCATCCTGATGATTGTGCATCAGGCAGATCATGACTAATCAGGAAAAGGATTTTCACACCCTTTCTTCTTGTCCCTACTTGTTCAGGCACAGGCACCAACTTTTAGCAACATCAACTGTGGTGTCTGATGACAGCAAAGAATGTTGCTAGGAGGCCCAAAAAATTCTTTGGCTATAAGTTGCCTCTCGAGTCAGCTGCTGTGGTAGTTTTCAGAGTTGCCGTATTATAGTCAGATTTTTTTTGCACTTCAGGATTGTGGCCTGTTGCAGCCTTGCTCTTTGACTTCAGACTCCTGCTACATTGTGGCGTTTCTTTCAAAGTCAGTAGGGAATTTAGCCCCATCTCTCACCATATCACTAATTATCTATTAATTGGGGTTTTTTTAATGAGTAAATTTTTTTTTTTCCTCTGCAATGCTAATTGATCAGTGTTTCCTTAATTGTTTTAAGCAAAAGAGTTTTAGTATCGTACTATCAGACTGCAGGTAGAGAGAAGTTGTGGGAATCAGATTTGACCTCATTTTTAGGATATTCTCCCTGCCCTCCCTGGTAACTCCAGAAGGATTTTGCCACATAGCTACATGGCTGAAAAATGTTCACCCGGATGAGCAATAGAAAGCATGTGAGAGAAGCCAGCTGTGGCTGCTCTTTGCTTGGGGCAAAAACTGGACTGAAAAAGGTCTCTTCTGCAGCTGAAGCAGACTAAACCATCTGAATGTTGGCTTTTGTGTGTCCCCCCCCCTCCCCGCATACTGAATGCATGGATATGCTTCCTTCATGGTGTTTGTAAAGTTTCACTGTAACTTTCTTTGACTATCCACTAACTTTACTTTGTGGTTCTAAATATTTTGCAATGATCATTGCTTACCTGTTTTGCAGATGACTTATATACTGGCTATCATTCACACTGTTGAAGCATTATTGCCATTTTGTATTTTGCTTAGCTAACTTTTGTTCTTTATCATTATTTTCTTTTTCTGTCAATGATGTTTTGTGAAGAAATTGAACTTCTTTCAGGGAGTCCAGCTAATAATCTGCTGACCAGTTCTCTTTTTCTAATATTTTATTAATAGGCCCAATATTTCATTGGTAGGTTTGAAGAGTACTGAATTTTAAATGCATTACTCTATTTTCAGGAAGCTACAGGTATTTTGTTGGGTTTTTTTGTTTTTTGGTTTTTTTTTTTTTTTAAAATAATCACTTCTGTTTCATAACATTATTTTTACTTGCAACTTCGACTAGTCTTACCAAAGTACAGTTTGTTAGCATTTAGTTCTTAAGACCAATTCTGTTTCTTCTTAAGGATTATAAGCTCAGTGTCTGCATCTTCATCGTGGAGTTCTGTAATTGGCACATGAATATTCAGGTTTCTAAATTGGCTAGAAGTATTCTCAACAGTAACTTCTTTCTAGGAAATTAGATTTTAAAATGATTGTTGGAAAAATGTCTTTGTTGTTGTTGCTAGAGATGGTGGTATGGGAGTCATACCTGAGGATTATTAAATGCAGGATTTGACTGATGATCAAACTAAGTTTGGGTGGTAGTCTTCCTTCTCTATTATCCGTTATTGCAGAAGTCACATTTTTATAGCTAATCACAGGAACTAGCCAGGAGGAATAGTTCAATAAACAAATTTTTGTTTCAACAAGACTGCTTCCCGGTGAATGGGGAAGTCAGGATTGTATTCTTCATGTTGGTTGGTAATTGGTTAACATCAGGACATCAATTAGTTTTTCTGTTACTGTGGTCTGTTGATTATGTCTATGTGGGACCATGGGCATAAACTCAAGTTAGCAGCTAAAAGCTGCCATTTCTGGAGAGCAGAGAGCAACCACATAACTTTCTTCCTCAGAAGTAAATTTTTACCTTAAATATAAGTCTAGTTTTGTTCAGTGGATGTACATATTTCACAGTTGCACAGTAAATTGCATACACTTTACTATTTTATTGAGTTGAATATAGAGCACTGGATCTACTTTTCACTCCTCAGGTAACAAGGAGAGAGTTTACAGTCTGACAACCCAGCATGTACTGTTTGGTTTTCAGGGAAGTTATTGAAAAAGTGATTGCAGTGGTTATAACCACTCTTGCTCTCTGCTGGTTTACAAATGGACTACAGTTAACATGATTACTTTTAGATTTTTTTTTTCACATTACTCAAGACATCATAGATAGTAATTCAGTCAGTAAATCAGTAATTCAATATGTTGATAAAAGCTATTGCAAAACAAAATCTTTGGTAGAAGAATTGGTAAATGACAGTATAAAAATATTCCCTTTTTCAGAAATAGCAAACCAGCAATAAAATTTTAGGTTTTGTTTTCTTGCTATTGAGAGGTTGTCAATAGTGTCTATTATTTTTTATGTGCATGTGTCTGTGTGTATGTGTGTGTATATATACATACACACACACTTAAACTTTGATTATGTTTATGAGGATTTTCTAGCATGCACAAATAAAAGAATATATAATGTGCCCCAATCACTCACTGTTTCACCTGGGAAAAAAACCCCAATCAGCGAATGTGCTCAGTGATGTGTACAGTATGTTATAGTGAGGAAGTGAAGCCAAAATGAATAAAGTGAAGCTAAAGTGAATAATTAAAATAACAGCAAAAATATTGGGAAGTGTCTTATGCAGATACAACTTAAATTAATGCTTTCAAACTTCCTTTTTAGGAAAGGGTTGTTGGATATAGTCTGGAAGAACCGGATAAAAACCGAATACTTCAGTTTTGTGGAGAGGAAACATTTTTTTCTTCTTGCTTTTCCTGTTGTATCTGCACCAGAATAGATAAGATCTTGTCAAAAGGTTTTTAGAATTCTCTCGTGCCACTCTAGTCTGAGCATGCTTCTATGGGGAGATGGTGATGTTGCCAACACATGTGGCTCTATTTTGTGTTTTGTAGGTAACCGAATATGTCACATCTGCGAGTTAAAATATCTTAGAAAGAAGAAAGGTTTTTTGAGTTAATCAGTATGTTTCTGTAAACATTTAGGAATGACTCAATTTTGAATCAAATTGATGCTTGCGTACAGTACAGTGCTTCACATAGGAGAGAAAACGATGTGATGGGAACTTAGATGGTTGTTCTCCTTAGTTGTATATGGAGACCTTTTAGCAGGGAAAGGAAAGAAAGGAAGAGTTTAGGTGACTTTTGTAGGTGATGGATAAATCTAATTCTCTTTAAGAGTGCAAACACGTGAAGAAATTCCAGAGCGTCTTTGGTATACAGCTTTCAGACTGTTTACTTGGAAATTGCAGTTCATGGAACATTTTGTATGCTACTTTGAGATCTGGCAAAGATGTCAGCATCTACTGTTTGTAATGTTGTTTTGAACTTTCCAGTTTTTCACTCAAATCATTGGAGAACATTTACCTTGGACAGTGAATTCCCTTGGGTGAGAGGCCAGAAGTCAAAGAAGAGAGAAGAGTTCAAATCTAAGTTGATTGCCTTAAACAATTTGGGAAATCTTTGTGTAACAGCACCTGATCATGCTTTTGACAATACCATCTAGAGGTTGAGATAAAATCAGCATAGTCCAGATGAAATTGAATGCCCTGTTTTTGTTTCAAGAAAATAGAGGAATTACCTGGCTGAATCTGGTTAAGAGTAATTGTCTGTCTTGTTCAACAATCTACTGTGAAGAAGGGTGAGTTTCACAATGAATAAAGTCATGCAAGAAGATTTTTGTGTGGTCATAGGTTGAATGA